GTGTCACTCACCCAAAAACGAGCTAAAGTGACTTGTAGGGGATCATACACACCCACGATATGCTTCAGTTCCCAGTGAAATGAAAAAAGTAGTAGCCCGTAATTAACTAAAACTTGTCACCGCTGGTTTATAATACCATACTTCTCTCAGATTAAGCACCGAGGTGGTTACAAAATAAGGATTTGGATATGAAACCCCCAGATGAGTTGTTAAATTTTACATGTTAGTACCTTTTAGTAATAGGACAATTTCTACCAATTATGACACAATTTCCTTTGGAGTCAATGTTTTCAGAGCTACCAGTCAAGTTCTAGTCAAAATAAGCTGCTGAGATCTTGCTACATATATGCTGCGTATCATGTATATGGCTGAGCAAATTAATTCACATGCATTTCACACTCATCATTTCACTTAACGATGTGCTAAGATGTAGCGTAAATTCTCTTATCACAAGTACCCACGTAGCTATCTTTTAGACTCAAAAGGTACATATGTAATCTGCATGCTCATCTATGTGGAAATTGCTATGTATTTCTTTGTCCTTTTTGGCAAAATATTGTTTTTTCAGCTTAAAGGAAAAGGAAAGAGGAGTGTGGCTCTGGAAGGGGAGGGGAGAAGCCATGCTCCCTGGGATGTGTCAGTCTTGCCTGCAAAAAGGGGCTTGACTGGGCAGGGCTTCTAAGTTAAGTTTTATTCTCTCTAGAATGTGTCTGCTTTGCCTTTATTCTTGAACGGTATTCTCCTGGATGTAGAATTTGCCTTTGGTTGCATTTTTCTTTAGCTCTTAAGAAACGTCGTTCAGTTGATTTCTGGCCTCTGCGGCTTCTGACAAGCTTAGGGCCTCCAAGTTGCCCCTGAAAGGAGCACGTCTTTTTTCTCTCACTGCTTTCAACGTTTCCTTTCACTCTCCGGTCTTCAGCAGCTTTGCCGAGGGAGTTCTTCAGGGTGTGCTGCTCAGGGCTCACCGAGCTCCTCCTTGCAAATGAAAATTGATGTGTCACATCAAATTTGGGACCATGTGCGATATTATTTCTTCAAACACCTGTCGTCACTGTCTCAGTCTCTATTCTTGTGGGACGCCAGCCACACGTGTATCAGTGTTCTTCACGCCGCCTGGCAGGACCCTGACGTTGCACGCACTTCTGTTATTCCTCTTTTTCTGGGTCTCTCAGATTGATCATTTCTACTGATCTACCTCCAAGTTCACCGACTTTCCATTCCGCCCACTCAGGCCATCAAATAGCTGCTTTATCGCTGATGCTGTATTTTTCAATTTTGAATGTCTTTTTGTTTCTTTTTAAAAGTTTCTAATGTTTTTGTCTTTTCACTCATTTTATAAACCTATTTTTCTTCACTGAGAAAAGTCATAATAAAGTCTTAAAATTTTAAATTTTTGTCAGATGTGGTGGTGTGTGCCCGCAATTCTGTTCTAGAGGCTGAGGCAAAAGGATGTGGTGTAAGATCAGTTTGAGTTGTCAAACTATCTCCAAAACAAACAAACAAACAAACAACCCACTCCTACCTCAAATCTTTGTTCTCTAGTTCCAACATGTTGGGTCATCTCAGGTCAGTCTCCATCTCTCCCTCTCCTGCTAATCCCATGCAATGGGGAGGCGCACCCTGGACACTGCCGTGGAGAAGATGGATGCTGTGGTGCTCCGGTGCTCAAAAGGAAGTGCTCGTACTTTTGATTTAGCAACTTGGTTAGAATAAAACTGTAAGGTTGTCTCCTGAGTAACAGCTCAAATTCCTTCAGCTCTGCCATACGCAGCCAGCTTACTCTGGTTCAGAGCCCAGTACTGACTGTAGCTCTCACTCCTGCCCCCTGAATGGACTGCAATCTCAAGGGCAGTTTTAAGGCTACTGGATTAACTCAGAATGCGTTTCTCATACAAATAATTCTATTAGCTTGAGTGGTTATATGTACACACAAACCATCAAAGTCCCAAATCCTGCTATAATTTGCTCATTTACAACCTAAAAAACCAATGCAAGTGCTTGTTTCTTTTCCTTCTCTCACAATCAGATAAGTACAGAAGTAACTGGTGCAGGATCACTTTTACAATCAAGTTCTTCTGAGCACACAGATATGCCAAGTACCACTCTCTGGAACTCCGACATAGGACAGACCTCTATTTGCAGGCGTAATATAGCAGAACTAATGACTCTCACTTCTGTGGGAAAACCCAGAAAATGTGCACGTGTGCATGAAGCTAGCCGAGAGGGGGACGCAAGGATGCCGGGACGGCCAGTCTGCGGGTGGGTTCGGAGTGGCCTCCCCCTCTGGGCGGCCAAGACAGCTGACCTGCATGATCAGCAGGCTGGACCAAGAGGATGACGTGTGGCTTCCAGCTGGGCCGCAGAAGTCAGCCCCCTTCTACACTTCTCTCTTTCCACCTCTCAGGATGGTCACTGTCTATACTAGTTGTTTTTGTCAGGATAAACACCTTGATCATCTTTGTCCTGTAACTCCTAGCACAGTACTAAGTTGCTAGCTAGCGCTCGAGAACTAACGAATGAATATATATTAAGGAGGAGCTCATTTTGCTCACGTTTCCATGAACATCTAAGATAATTTCGTGAGACTTCTGAAATTTCTTCAAACTGTATCATTCATTTTTAAATGTCTATCATAATTTTACACATCATTCTCTTCTCTGTTCTCCCTCTGAGATATTAGTTATATGTATGGCATCTACGGGGCTATCATGCCCACACTCATATAGCGGACTTGACACCGTGTCTCCAAGTCCCTACAGCTGCTTCCTTTGCACTGCTGTTGTTCAGTTCCCTCGCGCCCAGGTGCTGAGCAGGACACCACAACTTCTCGGGAAGTGTGGTGCTGTAGACACCAGTGGGCTTATGTCTGGGCTTCCAGCTGAGCTGCAGGTAACACCACTCACAGTGGAGAATCAAGGGAACCTAACCCTCAGGCTCAGCGTCCTCAGTTCCTTACTACTCTGGTTGTCCCTCGCTACACAAGGATGTCAAGAACAGGTGCTGCACGGCCTGGCTGTCATCCATCAGTGACTACACAGAGGAGCCACTGCACTCGTGCTCACTGAATAAACTGAAGTGAGTTCAGACTCATAACTGCTACCAGACACCAACTCAAGATGAAAAACTATTTCTTCTCAGCACAAACAGAACTGTTTGGTAGTCAGTAACATCCACATAAAAACTGGGTGTCGTGGTACACACCTGTAATCCCAGCGCTAGGGAGGCTGCGGCAGGGAGATTGCCAGGAGTTTGGGGGTAGTCTGGGATACATAATGAGAACAAGGCCAGCTTGAATGTGTTACACAGGGAGATGCTGCCTCAGAAAACAAACCAAACCAACCAAACCAACCCACGGATAAATACCAAAGCAGAAGGCTCTCTCTTTTAAATAAAAGTGATTCCTTAATCATGGTAGAAATGTAAATCACAGTTCAGGGGGCTTGGGGTGGGGAGAGGGCCTTCAGCTTGGTCATCCCGTGCATCACAATCCCTGAGGACACTTTGCTCACCACGTGGAAGACTTGGGCTAGAATAAAAATCCTTTAGAAAGGCACTGGGATTAATGACTGTATGGCACCACAGCTGTGACAGAATCAGTGGTCGAAAAATCAGAGAGCTGAGAACACTACCACACAGTCTACCACTGCTGCTTCACAGAAGGCTCTGGAAGAAATCTCCCAGCTTGGATTTCATCAGCCTACACAGGCACTGAACTCATCGGGGGCTTTCCCAACATAACACACGTCTAATTTTTCCTCAGGGAAGGCCACTGCTCCTAGGACTGCCTCTCTGGAGCACTCATGGCTCTCTGCCCGTGCCCTGGAGCCAGGCCAGCAGGGGAATAGCTGGCCTCCATGTATGCGCTTGCTGCCACCCAGTCCTTGCAGAACTACAAGGAGCAAGAGCCAGGTTATGCAAGACGCTGGGGCTGAATTAGAAGCTAAGGAGTGTCTGAGGTGATGCTTGGGCTCTGAGGTGAGGCAAGCAAGGCCAGTCCTGTGCAGGTTCTGGGGGTAAGGTGGCCCTCTTAGGCTCAGAGCACTCTGAGAACCACCTGAAGGTGGTTCTGTCGCCCTGCTGTCGAGTGAGGAACTGAAGCCTCGTTCTAAAAGCCTAAGAAGGAAAGATTACTGCTGCTCTGAAAGTAACAGGCCATCACTTTTTATTGACTCACATGGCTGTTCTGGTTAGCAGAAACATGACTTGCACTGAGTGACTATCTCAAATGTGGAGTTTTCAGTATTTCCAGTTGGTAAAATTCTAGCTACTAGGGCTGTTACTGCAGGGAAACAGTCATTACAGTTGAGTTCAAAAGCTGATTCCTCCACTTTTGGTGACTGATAACAGTGCATTTATAATGGCAAATGCGAAAAGGTATCAGTGCATCAGATCATCATGTCATACACACATGCGATTTTATCTGTGAAGCATACTTCAGTTGAGCTGGAAAAATAAAGCTATTTATTTCCACAGGGAACCCCACCACCAAAAAAAAAAAAAACAAAAACAAAAACAAAAAAAAAACCCAAACCAAACCAACCAACCAACCAACCAACCAACTAACCAACCAAACAAACAAAAAAACCAATCTGAATTCATTTTTCCTTTGACTAGAAAAAACAAATAAACAACTTACTGACTGAATCCACGGCTCTCTAACTTAATCCAATCTCAATATTCTACTTTGCCTGCTCATCATCTTAGTTTTTAAGGATAACTGGTTTAGAATGTCAAGGTCAACCAGAAAACTGAACATAATTATCAAAACCAGCCCATTTATTTATTTATTTATTAAATGTTTCCTTTATTTATTTTTTCTTTTTTATGGTCAGCTCAGCCCACCCTGGGGGCGGGGCTGGCATGGCATATGGTGCTGGGGATCGAACCGAGGTTCCTGCATGCTTGCCTAAGCTTGCCTAAGCAGGTGCCTTAGACCACTGAGCCATCTCGCCAGCCCCAGCCCATTTATTTTTAAGCCTAAAATATGAAGTCAGTCTTACCCATTGCACCCGATGACTTTGTTGTACAGGTAGGATGGTAGCCCTTTTAGGTTAATGTTGTTATCCATGTAGACATATTGTAGTTCTCGAGATCGACCTAGATCTGGAATAGAAAGGAAAATGCTGTAATTGCTTTTAATAGGCACCATGATGATGCAAAATGTAATGTAAGCAAAAATTTCTATTCTGCACAAAAAATGTTGTCGATGATGTCAGCTGCAGTAGTAGGCTGGGCATCAGAAATAAGGCTGCAGCAGTTACCTGACCAATCAGACTTTGACTTCTTCAACTGTAAGATGAAATATCTGAGTAGAACAGTATCTTTCCACATAAAGATTTTTTGACATTTCATAGTCAATTTGAAGGAGAAGTTTGCTGTAGGTGAATTACTTTCCTTTTTCAACATGGAAGATGTTACACTACGTAAGTTGATAGCTCAGCCTAAGTAAGCCCACTTCTGCCTGTCAGTGACAATTCTTTGCTTGGCCAAACTCTAGTCAGGTCCTTGAACCTTTTGGTAGGTTCACCTGTGTACTTCCTTGTACAATCCAGTTTGAAAAACGAACTTTGCTGTGTCAGTTTGGCAGGAAGCTCCCTTCCCCACAGCCGATCGCCCTCACTGTGTGATCACTCTCTGCATCCTTGGGCGTCTCCTAGGTGATGTCTGATCATGCTGGTCCGCCTGCAGCAAGCATCTTACCCTCTCAGTCATCTCCCATGCAGTGAACCCACCAGCATGTTCCTGGACCCTGAATCTGTTTGCCCACCCTGTATCTTGAGTTGACCGGTTTCTCTCCCCTGCCCTAAGACTCCACTACAGGAGTTCCTGTACTATTTCACAGGTTGTTAATGAAATTAACCTTACTGTGCTTCCAAGTGTCACTAAATTTTTTTCCTTAAAAAAATAAAAAATCCACGTATCAAGATTTCCTATGTCTCTTCTCCAGATGGCAGAAAGACTAGAAGCAGGCGACAGAGGACTGGAGGTTTTGGAATGAAGCAGGTGTGGGAATGAATCTAGCTGCCTTCAGTAAGAGACAAGTGAAACACTGCCCAACCTCAGGCCCCAGAGAGGCATGAAGATAAGAGTTGACAGTACCATGGGTCAATGAGCAGGGCTTGAAAGGAGAAAGGGATGATAGGGATGGCAACAGGAGCAGGATGGAGGAACCCAGATAGGTACTTCCTGAAAGTGGCAGGGCCGGGGTTGGGAGACGGGAGGCAGGGGCTAGAGGAGGGCTCAGAGGGAAATGTGACTCCACATCCCTAGGGCCACCCCAGCTAGCTAGGCACATGCACCAAGGGTCCTGGCCAACACTACCCTGTGTGCCCAACTCTGGGTTCCACTCCAAGAACTCACCAAACAGGGCTGTTTGTCCTTACTGCCCCAGAGGCAACAGGGACAACAGAGTTCTGAGTGGCTTTTCTGAGCTTCTGCTAGGGAAAGCAAGTACATCGCTTTGTTGTCTAAATAGGCTGAAAGAGATTTCTTCCTTCTAGACTTTCCATGGTCTAGGAAAGACAAAAGCTCAAACACTGGCAAGTGACAAGCTTCTCAGATACACTTGAGAGTCCAAGATAAGCCATTTGCCCATTAAGGACCTTTTAGGCAGCCTGCGAGCCCTTGGGAATGCAGATATGAGTGTCACACTAATGGAGGGGAACACAGATGTGAAAAGCAGGGACTGCAAGATGATATGGCCATCGCTATTAGAGGGGCTTGTGCACAGTCTGCAGCGCACAGATGGGGCCTACACAAAGTGAGAGGAGGGCAATACAAGGCTGGGGTGAGGAAGGAGCCTGCGGAAGGAAGCACACAGGGAGGCGTGAGCCTCAGCCCCTCCTCTCCACTCCTTGTCCTACTCCAGCAATCCTTCCTGGCCTAGCGTTGAGAAAGTTAATAGAAGGAGCTAAGACCCACCCGGAGTCTAAGAACAGAAAAGAAAAGGTGGTGGCGGCTCTCTGGGAGGTAAGGAAAGCAGGCGGCTCCAGGCTGGAGGGCTTCAGGCACCGACCTCTAACAAAGGAAGCGGAGGAGATGGGTACCACTGCAAAGCCAAGTCACACAAGACACTGGTGCCTTGTCTCTCCTCTCTCTGGGGTCATTCCTCCTGGAGCAAGATGAAGCCCCTTGTCACCAGGGTCCTGTGTGAGCATCTGTAAGCACATTGCTGGGCCCCAGGTCAAGGCTGTATACGGCTCCACCCCAGGACTATGCAAATATCTTGTCCTGCCTCAAACTTTTGCCCGCCAATTTTAGCTCTCATTCTGGAGCCTGTGTGTGACACTACACAGTATTTATCTAATAGTGATTTTCTATTTTCGTTTTTCTGGCAACATTTATTAACTGGAATTCTTCTGTAAGGAAGAACTATTCCTTCTCCTTCATTTACTCGATTTTTATGTTTATATATTCAAGGATATTTATTGTAAAGGATTAAAACCCAAATACTAACATCACTTGCTCTGTTGGTCAAATATGTGTTTTGGCAACGAGGCACAACCTTGGGCGGGCTACTGTGCTCTTCCTACGCATCTGCAGCCTTCTCTGATTACTTCCAGACTTCCTGGTACCACAGCCTGCTGCACACCCAGCTTGCAGTCTCTGCCAAAGCCTTGAGATCAACGGCTTCTCAGAGGAGTGTGGTGCTGAGAAGCCGTGACCTGAGGGTGAGATGTGCTGCTGTTCGTGCCTGTGAGGGCCAGCACCTTGGGCTCCAGCCTCTAGGAAACGTTCATACTAAAACCTGGGCACGCACGTGCTGCTCTCCTTGGCGGAGTGTCCCCAGCACACAGGCCTGGATGCGAGCTTGCTTGCCTTCCAGGTAATCGTGAGAACCCCCGAATACGCTGTTATACCGTAAGCGTATTTTTGTCATTCTGGTAGGTAAGTAATGGTATCTTAGCACTGCGTCAGTCTGCATTATTCTACATGAACACTTGAAAAAATAAATCTGAAGGGCATTTAAAAAAAATTACGTATTTGGTAAAGGGTTTTGCTAGACAGCTCGGCCTTGTAGTGATCCTGTTTCACCCTCCCCAGTGCTGGGATTACAGGCATGCACTACCACCCCTGGTTTGGGTGGCCTGGCGCAGAGTCGGCATGGCATACAGTACTGGGGGCTGAACCTGGATCTCTGCGCTTGCCCGGCAGGGACTGAAACCACTATCTACCTGGCCCTAAGGGCATTTTTATACAGATTTGTGTGTGTGAACTGTTTACACAAGTCTTTCCCCCATTTTCCTATCAGATTTTGGTAGTTTTGGCCCTTATTTTTTAGGGTGATAGCTCCATAAACATTTTATCCTAGCTTGGAATGTGTCATTTGACTTTGTTTTTGATATTTCTGGTTGTGAAAAACATATAAAAACCCTTTTTCTTATATTTGTCAGTCCTTTTTTTTTAATTACTTCGACTTCTAAAAATATATTCCAGTTTCTCCCTGTAACAAGGGTTAAAACACAATTTATCGTGTGTATGTGTGTGTGTGTGTGTGTGTGTGTGTGTATGTATGCTTGTGTGGATTTCACTTTTCTAAAATCTACATTCCTATTCTATTTGAAATTTATTCCTATGGATATTATAAAATGTACAGCTAAATTTTTCTTTTCCACTTGGTATCCAGTTATCTTGGCATCATTTATGAACTTTGTTTTTTTTTTTGACAGTGGGATGCAGATTTTTAATTGTCTAATTTGTAACAAACAACTAAGCAGAAAACTCCCAAATCAAAATTATATTCAGGGTTATGAGACATGATAGACAAAGCATTTTCATATACCATTGGTCTTGGCATATCCATATCTTTATCTCTCTATGTGACATTTCTTTTTTTTTCCCATAATTTTATTGAGAAACAAACAGCAATGAGACAGTTTCAAATCAAATTAGGACATTTTCAATAATTAATACATTGCATATTGTTTTCTTATTGGTTATTTGTTATACAAGATGCAGACATGATATCCTATTTACAAACACTATTTGAACAAATCCCTCTATTCATTTAATTAAGAGAATGTAGCTGCATGTCTATCTTAATGATTTTGAATATACAGATACAAAACGGTCATTCATTTGTATCCCCTTTTAGGTTTAGTTTTGTCATTTAAATATTGTAGTTGTGTGAATTCAGCAAAATATTCCAAAATAGTCCAGTAGTCCATAATAGTATTGGGTTTTCCGCATGATTGACAATGTCAGAAGTTGTTGACTTGAGTCTGTTACAGCTCGGCATAACAATATGGCTTTACTTTTTATACTTCATTTTTATACTTTTCTGCTAGATGGTTAAGACCAAGATAAAGCAAGACCTATGTAACAAGAATTGTAGCCTTTGTATCTGATAAGGTCAGTCAAATCCCCTCAGGATTTATCCTGAGAATTTGTACTGCAGTTTGTAGATCTTTCGTCAGTGTCAGCCATGTGGATGAGTCACGGCCATTACTTGAGCAATTTGCTCTCTGTGAAAGCCTGAGAAAATGTTTTCTCTCCATGTTACTCTCATTAGGCACACTCTACATCATTGATCACCTTCCTCTTTGTCCCCATAATCTCCTTGATCAGAAAATTTGGGACACAACTGAGTTACATGATGTTACACTACAGGTTCTCATATGTCCTGAGTCTTAATTGACCTTGAAAGACTAGGGCCAAAATGTTGGCTGTCCCTGTGCCCTTCCTTTTTCTCTAATTTTTGGTCTGCAAACTTAGGTTGTTAACCCTCCAGAAGAGAAGCTTACTGTCATTACCATAGAACTTAGGCTGATGAGCTTAATGTCACTGTCTGAATATCAAATATCTTAGGCATAACATGGAACAAGTATTTTTCATCAAGTATTGATATGTTAAACTTTAAGTCCCTATAGAATATGACAAAAATTTAAAAAATTAAAATATATTTAAAAAATAGAAATAAACAAATTATATATGTTTACACGTAAGTTTAGAAATCTAACCATATACAGCATTGTAGCAGGACAGTCCCACAACACTCATTTTCCTGTTTCCTGCCTTCATTCATCACCCTCTTCCTTTTTAAACAAACATCTACCCGAGAGACAGCACGGCAGCAACCGGCATGTCATGACAAGCGGTACATA